CAGTGGTGCCCAGTCGATGAACAATTTGAAACTCATGATACACACGGAAATCATTTGATACTGAATATCATCGACCCCAATCTGGTTTACCTTATTTCCCAACTTGCAAAACTGATTTGTATCTCAGCCCAGTTTTTTTTTCTTTTTTTGAACTGAGGTCAAATCCCGGCAGTTTGTCAAAATATACCGATGTTTTTTAGTGAATAATTGTGAAGCCTGTCACAGCACAGTGAATCGACGCCGGAGATTGGATTGTACGACGACCCTTAAATTAGCGTCAAATATGCTTTGTTACAACATCATTGATTGGCTGACAGTCACCTGATCGGAGCACACAACCTGGGTCACAGAACCATATTTGTCCATATTATCAACGGGATTTTGCGAGAGAACCACACCCACACTTTCAATCATTTTTGGCGCGGAATTTGCCAACAAATGTCGAAAAACTCGGGAATTTTATGGATTTGAATAAAATAAAGCTAGCGATTGGTAAGACTGGTTAATATAATAATATATCCCCCGATGCTCTTCGATTTTTTTAAAACGTCAGAATAAGTTGTTTAAAATAAAATAGTCAATCCCAGCCAAATCTAGGTCAAAGGGTCAGATTGCGTGCATATAATTATAGATAGTTAAAACAAAAAGTATTTGAACTTTTGATGGTTGTTCAACATCTATGCACGGTTACTAAACTAGTAACCGTGATCTATGCAAACCAGAAAATTGTTAGTAGTCCGAATTTTTGCACAGTCGAAAATAAAGCGTAAATTCAACAAGCGGTTGCAAAAGCGAGCGATTGGAAAGCGGAAGCGGGCGAAATGAGTTCTGTACTTCTTTGTTTGATGAAGCGATGCTGATGCCACATTGTCGCCATAATGAGGCCACAATAAAGCGAAGTGATGACCGCCTCAACTTTTTATGTCGCGACATTGAAGCAACGCTGAAGCCATAACAATGCCATAATGATGCGATGCTGAAGCGAAGCTCACGCTGAAGTGAAGCCAAAGCTTCCGCGAGAACTGTACTGTACATACATACATACATACATACATACATACATACACACACACACACACACACACATACAGACACACTAACTGCAAAGACTCCCATTGTGTGCTTCGTACATGGGAGTAAAAAAGGCAGACTACATGAAACAGTTTGAAAATAATATCGATGGATCCAGACAGCGCATCAAAACTTCATCAAAATTTGAAGAAATGTTGCAGAAAAAGGCATTGTCATTTGGGTCTGAACTCGGTGCCGATTTGGAAGTGGTCGAATACATGTATTTCAAACAACGCATTGGTGAACTGTGTGAAGAGTACAGGTCAGAAGATATTTTTAATGCCAATGAAACGGGTGTTTATTTTAGAGCCTTGCCTGATAGAACACTGGAAACAAAATCAGACGATTGTAAAGGTGGCAAAGTTTCAAAGGAGAAACTGACCGTGTTGTTTACATGCAGCATCACTGTCAAGAAAATAAAAACGTTCGTCATCGGGAAAGGCAGCAAAACCACGCTGTTTTAAAAATATTGATCCAAAAACTTTGCCTGTATACTGGAATTCTAATAAGAAAGCCCGGATGACAAGTGCCCTATTTGAGGAATATCTCCGTGATTTGAACAATCAAATGTGTCGTAAACGCCGAAAAATCTTGCTTTTTCTTGACAACGCCACTTCACACTGCCCGAATATTAGGCTATCGCATGTCACTCTGAAATTCTTTCCTGCCAATACCACATCTGTTTTACCAGGGAATTATTAGAGCATTTAAGGGTAGATGCAGAAAGATACTCTTATGTTCTGTTATTGCAAAGATTGACATGGAATCGAGAGCGAGTGAAGCAGTGAAATCCATGAATGTACTCGACGCTGTACAGTTAATGGAATGACACGAAATCTGAGACAATAATAAAATGTTTTCACAAAGGTGGTTCCAATCAAGTGGACAGTGAAATCACCGATGTGGAAGAAGCAGACGACACAGAAGAGATAAGAAATCTTATCAATGAAGTAACAGGGCCAAAACGTTCAATGCATCGTTGACAAATATCGTAACTTTGAGGACAATATACCGAAGACTTACAATGGCAAATGGGAACAGCAGATTCTAGAGAATTTTATTAAAAACAAGGAAAACCAAAACTGTCCAGATGACGATACAGAAAGCAATGAAAATGTTGACAAAAATTTCGCAATAAACAAAAATTTGTGTTACCTGACGGCACCCCAAGACCTGCAAACCATGACTGGACAGTAAATTGTACAGAAAAGATTTTTGAAAGTTCTTCGAGGCAGTCAACTTTGGACAGATTTTTCACACCATAAACTGACATTTATTGACTTTAGTTTAGTGACTTTTTTCAATGTGAATCAGTGACATCATTAAAATGGGCGTCTTCGTTAACATCTCATCAGGCATGTTTTATTTCTTTTCTTAAATTAATTTATAAATGTACTACATGTATGTAATCAAATAATGTGTGAACTTTCATTATATTGATATATTGATAATAAACGTAATTACAATGATATTTACAATTTTGGGTTTGTTTCAAAATCACCACTGGGCAACAGAATCATTTTCAAAAAAAAAATGACCGCCAGTCAGCCATCTTGGACCAAATCTCGTGCACATATAACCCAATATGCAAGATCACCATACAAAGTTTGATTGAAATCGCCCTGTTCAGCTCCGAGAAACAGTTCCGGATACGTTTAAATATCAGAATTTAGCAAATTTGAGGGACAAAATGTCTGCCAGTTTGCCATATTTAATCAAATCATGACGAAAACTGGCGTGCATATGTATGTTATCATACATTGTCTGTATACCAAGTTTGAACGAGATCGGTCAAAGGGTGTCCGAGAAATGGCTCCAGACAGACACATGGACGGAGGGAAC